GTGGGCCAAAGGGCCAGCCTCATACCCTGCCCCGCTCCACTGGACTCCCCAGCTCCTGCCATACTATCCTGTCATTTCCCCAAAACCACCAAACCTCCTTCCACCTGTAAGGCCTTTCCATAAGCTCCGCCTAGTGTTCCCACCCGTGACCCTTCTTGCTCAGCTGGTCACTCATGATTCTTCAGACGTAGTATGAACGTCACTTTTTTAGAGTTGCCCTGCTCTGGTCCAACAGATTTTGTGGCTCAATGTGCTTTTTTGAGCATTTTGCCTTCTTTGTTGTTCAAGGTCCAATCGTAGCACTTTCCCATGATTGCCTGTGAACCCCGTAAGGGTAGATGCTGCCCACTCCCTAGGGCACTAGACTGCATCTAATAAGTGTTGGTTGTTATTAAGATGGTGCAATAGAATGCATGTTGGGGCCCTTTCTCCAAATAAGCAGGCACAGAAACCGGCGAAGGGATGGGATTTTATTGAATTACTCACACGCCAGCTTCCCATCTAAACTGGACAAACAGATGGCAAAGGCTTGGAGCGGGCAAAGCGGGTAGCAGAAGTCCATGGTGAACATGTCTTGGGCCACACGGCCGAACTGGAGCACCACGTACCCTGCTGAGGAGGAAGACAGGTAATAAGCCTTCCTTAGTCAGACCCCCTCATCTCCCCGCCTCTGAGCTTCCAGAACTATGACTTCTAAAAGGCGGTGCCCTCAAAGCTCAGAAACCATCTGAGGGCAGTATAAACTACAATTCCCAATAAGCTTTGCAACAGCGTGGCGTCTGCCATGCCTGCAAAAAGCGCTCAAGTGGCTGATAGGAGATGTAGTTCTCGTCTGCTCACGCCCCTAGCCCAGGTAAACTGGTTCCCAGGAGCTCACGGTTATTTGGGTGCACGATCTGGAAGTTCTTGACTGAGGCCCGAGTGACTCGACCTTGAAAATTGAGCACGTAGGAACCGCTCTCCTCGCTCCACAACGGGGTTTTACTTTTCAGTAGGATTAGCCCCTGCATGGCCTCCTGTTGGTAGCGACTCAGTATCGACTCCTGTGCCTAGAAGATGAAAGCAGGGGACGTGGTTAACCTATGACCAGCCAACTTTTTCACGCAAGTCTGACAAAGTCCTCCAGGCTTCACATGTGACCTTAACCCACTGGTCCCCTCCTCCCCTGGGATCTAGGAGGACGGGCTCCAGCCCCTCCTCCTCCACTGACCCAGAGATTCCCAACTTTGAGGACTCACATTTTGTGGCTGACAAATGATTCTCTGGTTCTGGCTGTCCACTGCTGGGATGATCACAGTCATTTTCCGAGGGCCCTGAGATCCCAAGATGTTGGTCTCCTGAGAGTATTATATTCCAGTTGGCCTGGCTCCTTCCCACCATCCTGCCCCATTCTCTCATGCCTGGGACACTCACATAACACACAACTCCCAGCTCCTGTCTGATGTGGGCAGTCTGCAAGAGGAAATTTTGCCTGTTGGGATTCGCCCCGTTGTCAAAGATGGTGAACTTGGTGCCGAAGACATTGGATCTGCTCCAGGAGGGGAATGGATAGAATAATAATAAGTGTGACTCTGTGGCTGTACATTAAGTGCTTTCCCAAGTCATCTCATCATAAGAATCATATTCCCTGCCTGCATCTATGGTCCTGGCACTGTCTACGCTCCCCCAACCCTGAATTTCTTTGGTGAGCCATGTATGTTAGCCTCCTACTTCAGCCCTCTAGGGACCCTCTTCCCTCTAGGACACAAGAACTCATGCAACCCAGGCATCTTCTCCCACAGAATTTAGGAATCCCAGCCCCTTGTCTCTCAAGAAGTCCAATGTTTTATTTTTATTTATTCATTTACTTTTTGAGACGGAGTCTCAGTCTGTCTCACGGCTAAAGTGGCACGGTGTCAGCCTAGCTCACAGCAACCTCAAACTTCTGGGCTCAAGTGATTCTCCTGCCTCAGCCTCCCGAGTAGCTGGGATTACAAGCACGCACCACCACGCCTGGCTAATTTTTATATTTTTAGTAGAGATGGGATCTCACTCTTGCTCAGGCTGGTCTCGAACTCCTGAGCTCAAGCAATCCTCTCACCTCGACCTCCCAGAGTGCTAGGATTACAGGCGTGAGCCACCTCATCCAGCCTATTTATTAATTTTTAGACAGAGTCTCACTGTCGCCGAGGCTGGAGTGCAGTGGCATCAGCCTAGCTCACTGCAACCTCAAACTCCTGGGGGTCAAGCTATCCTCCTGCCTCAGCCTCTCGAGTAGCTGGAACTGCATGTATACGCCACCATGTCCTTCTGCCACCATGTCCAGCTAATTTTTCTATTTTTTTAGTAGAAACAGGGTCTTGCTCTTGCTCAGGCTGGTTTCAAACTCCTGACCTCAAGCGATCCTCCCACCTCGACCTCCCAGAGCGCTGGGATTACAGGCGTGAGCCATGTGCCCAGCCAAGAAGTTAAATGTTTTAAATGGCAGCCTGTGCTCCAAAACTTTCAGCACTTCTACTCCCAACCACTGTGGGTATACAACCTGAAGAACTACAAAACCCATCGGGTCCTAGAGCAGGTGGAACTTGTGCTCTATGGTCTGTTGGGAAATGTAGTCCCCTTGTCCCCTTCTGCCCCTCAGGCTCCTTCCTACCTCTTTCTCACCACACATCACCTGAGTTTGCCCACAAAGTAGACCCCATTCCGAGATAGGTCTGTGGAGTCCATGGAGATGAGGTAATTCGAGGTTTTGCTCCTTTTTCTCTTTCGCCCAGCCAGGAGGAGGTGCTAAGGATGGGAGGAACAGCCCGTCAGAATGGATTTCTGGCATCTGGCTCCAGTTAGGAATCCAAAGATAAGGAAACCCAATATCCCGTGACTAAAGAGCAGGTGACAACACAACAAGCATCCCATGGTTTGCTGGGAGACGTGGTTCTCACTGAAGGAAGTTATCAGCTGGGTCCTAAAGCGGAGCTTCACATCTTAACATCTCCCCCTTATTCCTTCTGCCAATGGGTCTGGGGTTGGGGCTTGGGCCACCCAGGGAAGAGCCTGAATGTGACAGGCAGAGCCTGGCTTTGGAGAATGGGGAGCAGCCTCTCTTGCAACACTGCAGCAGGACTTTGGTAGGTCTTTCATCTAGGAAAAGTGGGTCTGGCTCTGATTAGGGAAAAAGCCTCTTTCTGGGAGAGAGAAAGTACGCTGAGGAGGCCACACTGAGGGATGTGGCTTGACTTTGGAATGGAAAATCCGTGAGGGGCGGGCCTTGGTTCCATGGCGGGGCTTATTCCAGGATTGGATGGGGTGTGATAGCAAAGAAGGCTCAGTGCGGTCCAGGCTTGGACCAATAAAGAAAGGACCAATAATACACCTCCAGGGGGTATAAGGGGTGGGATTTTGGATCCCTGAGAGGGCGTGGCCTGACTGTGAGAAAGGCGGGCCCAACTCTGGAGCACACAGGGCTCGGATATGGGGCGGGTAAGGCCAAAGCTACTGGGCTCTGTAAGGAGAAGATTCTAGATCTGGTAAGGGCAGGACTTGGTATTGGAGTTGACAGGTCCTAGCCGTATGAGGCTGTGAGGCCTCAGGCCCAAATGGGTTGGACCGCACCTTCCGGCCCTCGGTCGCCTCCAGAAAGAGGAAGTAGGAAGGGAACGTGCCCTTGTCTACTCCGTGCTTGTTGCGACTGATGAGGCACTGCAACTTGAGGCCCGGGAGCACCGGCTGCAACACATACGCCTCCATGGACTCGCCCATGTGACTGCCTGGGGTGCCGGGTGCCGGGCAGGCCACGCCCCACACATCGATGCTGCCTGCGCCAACTCTGCCTGCGCCAACTCTGCCTTCCAGGGCCTTGGACACCTCCTGGTTGGCTGCTGCTGGGGAGTTGGTCTCTGCAGACTCCGACTCCGCTTTCTTCTCTTCCAGGTCTTCAGCCTAGCCCATACACCAAATTCAAAGTTGAGGGACATTCACACAAAATCAGATTTAAAAAAAAACAAAGCTGAGGGACAGCCGGCCCCAGCCTTGCCAACTACTGACTGGCCTTGCCAGTTCAGGGATACGCCTTCCCAGCCCATGTTTTCTGCTTTTTGATCAAACATCTCCGTCAGCCCACCCACAAGCCCTCATCTGTTGATTGGCTAGCTCTATTTGCTTTCTTCTGCAGCCACACCCACCTACTGATTGGAAGATTTCTCTGCGAACACTGTCCGTTCCTCCAAACGGTGTTGATTTGGTCTGGGTAACATAACAGAGCCCAGATCTAGCCCAAGCGAAACCCTCTACTGCACTTTCACCAACACCTGTGTAAGTGCTGATTGACCCTTCTCTGTCAACGCTCTGCTCCTTTCAAAGGTCATGGGCTGCATTTTAATGGCCATGCCCACATCAAGTCAAATCCTATGATTTGATAAATGGCACTCACACACAGCCTCTGCTAGCCCGATCACAGGCTGTGGGTGGTTGTGTGCACCAACGAAAGGGAATTCAGGCTGCAGAATTTTAGCCCCACCCTCCCCAGAGGTCCTAGGCTAGGCCTCCTCTTACATCCTTAGTAGCTGTGCCTCTCTCCACCTGGTGGGAGGTCAAGTTTTCAGGTCCCAGGTCACCATCCATTCCAAGGTTTGTTCCCAGGTCACCATCCATTCCAGGGTTTGTTCCCAGGTCACCATCCATTCCAGGATTTGGTCCCAGGTCACTGTCCATTCCAGGGTTTGGTCCCACATTGGGCACCTGGAATTCATCTCCAACATCCTGGGATTCACTCTTCTCCTCCACACTGGCCCCTAAGTGGTGGAAGAAACCCAGGACATAGCTCAGGACACCCAGGTCACAGGAGTTTGGGACAAAGTCATCAGTGCTAGCTAAAGAAGGCTAGAACTCAGTCCCTACTCATCACTGAGTGCCCTCGCTTGCCACATCCTCCTCCTCCACTTGTGCATGGGAGTCTACAGGGGTGAGGAGTTTCTGACTCCCTAAGGACAGGGAGCGGTTACAGTCTTTCCCTTTTCTTTGTCCCAGAGAGAGCAACGGAGAGACTGGGGGACTAAGATGGGGAAAGTGGAATTTGGGGTGATAATTAAGAGTTCTGTCATTGAAATCATTGGCTATGTCATGAGAATGAAAGGAAATGTTATCACAATGAAAATTATAAGGGAATAAAAAGGAATGAAGTATGATAATACTACAACACGGATGAACCTTAAAAACGTTTTAAGTGAAAGAAGCCAAACTCAAAAGACCACATATTGTCTGATTCCGTGTATATGAAATATCCAGAACAGGCAAATCTACAAAGACACAACTTAGATTAGTGGATGCTGGGGGCCAGAGGGAAATGGAAGGGGGGCAACTGCTAAATGGTACAGGGTTTCTTTTGGGGGTGGTAAAAGTGTTCTAAAATTGATTGTGGTGATGGTTGCACAATTCTGTAAATACAGTCAGCCTCCACTATCTGAGGGTTCCATATCCATGG